TATATATATATATATATATATATATATATATATATATATATATATATATATATATATATATATATATATATATATATATATATATATATATATATATATATATATATATATATATATATATATATATATATATATATATATATATATATATATATATATATATATATATATATATATATATATATATATATATATATATATATATATATATATATATATATATATATATATATATATATATATATATATATATATATATATATATATATATATATATATATATATATATATATATATATATATATATATATATATATATATATATATATATATATATATATATATATATATATATATATATATATATATATATATATATATATATATATATATATATATATATATATATATATATATATATATATATATATATATATATATATATATATATATATATATATATATATATATATATATATATATATATATATATATATATATATATATATATATATATATATATATATATATATATATATATATATATATATATATATATATATATATATATATATATATATATATATATATATATATATATATATATATATATATATATATATATATATATATATATATATATATATATATATATATATATATATATATATATATATATATATATATATATATATATATATATATATATATATATATATATATATATATATATATATATATATATATATATATATATATATATATATATATATATATATATATATATATATATATATATATATATATATATATATATATATATATATATATATATATATATATATATATATATATATATATATATATATATATATATATATATATATATATATATATATATATATATATATATATATATATATATATATATATATATATATATATATATATATATATATATATATATATATATATATATATATATATATATACATATATATATATATATATATATATATATATATATATATATATATATATATATATATATATATATATATATATATATATATATATATATATATATATATATATATATATATATATATATATATATATATATATATATATATATATATATATATATATATATATATATATATATATATATATATATATATATATATATATATATATATATATATATATATATATATATATATATATATATATATATATATATATATATATATATATATATATATATATATATATATATATATATATATATATATATATATATATATATATATATATATATATATATATATATATATATATATATATATATATATATATATATATATATATATATATATATATATATATATATATATATATATATATATATATATATATATATATATATATATATATATATATATATATATATATATATATATATATATATATATATATATATATATATATATATATATATATATATATATATATATATATATATATATATATATATATATATATATATATATATATATATATATATATATATATATATATATATATATATATATATATATATATATATATATATATATATATATATATATATATATATATATATATATATATATATATATATATATATATATATATATATATATATATATATATATATATATATATATATATATATATATATATATATATATATATATATATATATATATATATATATATATATATATATATATATATATATATATATATATATATATATATATATATATATATATATATATATATATATATATATATATATATATATATATATATATATATATATATATATATATATATATATATATATATATATATATATATATATATATATATATATATATATATATATATATATATATATATATATATATATATATATATATATATATATATATATATATATATATATATATATATATATATATATATATATATATATATATATATATATATATATATATATATATATATATATATATATATATATATATATATATATATATATATATATATATATATATATATATATATATATATATATATATATATATATATATATATATATATATATATATATATATATATATATATATATATATATATATATATATATATATATATATATATATATATATATATATATATATATATATATATATATATATATATATATATATATATATATATATATATATATATATATATATATATATATATATATATATATATATATATATATATATATATATATATATATATATATATATATATATATATATATATATATATATATATATATATATATATATATATATATATATATATATATATATATATATATATATATATATATATATATATATATATATATATATATATATATATATATATATATATATATATATATATATATATATATATATATATATATATATATATATATATATATATATATATATATATATATATATATATATATATATATATATATATATATATATATATATATATATATATATATATATATATATATATATATATATATATATATATATATATATATATATATATATATATATATATATATATATATATATATATATATATATATATATATATATATATATATATATATATATATATATATATATATATATATATATATATATATATATATATATATATATATATATATATATATATATATATATATATATATATATATATATATATATATATATATATATATATATATATATATATATATATATATATATATATATATATATATATATATATATATATATATATATATATATATATATATATATATATATATATATATATATATATATATATATATATATATATATATATATATATATATATATATATATATATATATATATATATATATATATATATATATATATATATATATATATATATATATATATATATATATATATATATATATATATATATATATATATATATATATATATATATATATATATATATATATATATATATATATATATATATATATATATATATATATATATATATATATATATATATATATATATATATATATATATATATATATATATATATATATATATATATATATATATATATATATATATATATATATATATATATATATATATATATATATATATATATATATATATATATATATATATATATATATATATATATATATATATATATATATATATATATATATATATATATATATATATATATATATATATATATATATATATATATATATATATATATATATATATATATATATATATATATATATATATATATATATATATATATATATATATATATATATATATATATATATATATATATGTATATATAAAACCAATTAAGCACATTACATATGTGAAAACATGAATCATTTTTTTAAGCCTACCGGGACTCGAACCTAGAACTTGTGATTGCTAAGTCAAGGTGCTACCACTACACCACAGAAGGTTAAAAGGAATCCAACCTTATAGCTTATATCTGCTATACTTAGGAATGAACGTATTCTAACTGAATGCCACTTTGTTCATATTACAGATTCCCCAATCTCACTCGTGGCTTCATTTTAGCATTTAATTCAATTCCCAATCTCATTCGGGCCATGAAATAACCAATTAAGCACATTAAATATGTGAAAACATGAATCATTTATTTACCCCGACCGGGACTCGAACCTAGGACTTATGATTACTAAGTCAAGGCGCTACCACTACACCACAGAAGGTTAAAAGGAATCCAAAATTATAGCTTATATCTGCTATACTTAGGAATGAACGCATTCAAACTGAATGTCACTATGTTCATATTACAGATTTCCCAACCTCACTCGTGGCTTCATTTTAGCATTTAATTCAATTCCCAATCTCATTCGGGCCATAAAATAACCAATTAAGCAAATTACATATGTGAAATCATGAATAATTTTTTTACCCAACCGGGACTCAAACCTAGGACTTATGATTACTAAGTCAAGGCGCTACCACTACACCACAGAAGGTTAAAAGGAATCCAACCTTATAGTTTATATCTGCTATACTTAGGAATGAACGCATTCTAACTGAATGCCACTATGTTCATATTACAGATTCCCAACCTAAGTCGTGGCTTCATTTTAGCAATAAATTCAATTCCCAATCTCATTCGGGCCATGAAATAACCAAGTAAGCACATTACATATGTGAAAACATGAATCATTTTTTTACCCCGACCGGGACTCGAACCTAGGACTTATGATTACTAAGTCAAGGCGCTACCACTACACCACAGAAGGTTAAAAGGAATCCAACCTTATAGTTTATATCTGCTATACTTAGGAATGAACGCATTCTAACTGCATGACACTATGTTTATATTACAAATTCCCCAACCTCACTCGTGGCTTCATTTTAGCATTTAATTTAACTCCCAATCTCATTTGGCCATGAAATAACTAGTTAAGCACATTACATATGTTTTCACATATGTGAAAACGAGTGAGGTTGGGGAATCTGTAATATAAACATAGTGGCATCCAGTTAGAATGCGTTCATTCCTAAGTATAGCATATATAAGCTATAAGGTTGGATTCCTTTTAACCTTCTGTGGTGTAGTGGTAGCGCCTTGACTTTGTAATCATAATTCCTAGGTTCGAGTCCCGGTCGGGGTAAAAAAATGATTCATTTTTTCACATATATAATGTGCATATCTGATTATTCCATGGCCCGAATGAGATTGGGAATTGAATTAAATGCTAAAATGAAGCCACGAGTGAGGTTGGGGAATCTGCAATATGAACATAGTGGCATTCAGTTAGAATGCATTCATTCCTAAGAATAGCAGATATAAGCTATAAGGTTGGATTCCTTTTA